CCACCACGACTACTGCTGCTGCTGCTGCTGCTGCTGCTGCTGCTGCTGCTACTACTACTACTACTACTACTAGTACTACTACTTATACTACTACTACTACTACTACTACTACTACTACTAGTACTACTACTAGTATTTCTAGTACTTCTAGTACTACTAGTACTACTAATACTACTACTACTACTACTACTACTACTACTACTACTACTGCTGCTACCACTGCTGCAACTGCTACTGCTGCTACTACTACTACTACTACTACTACTACGACTACTGTGTCTTCTTCTACACTTAGTACCACCTCTACGATTTCTTTACAGCTAGTGCAGACAACAACATGCGCTATGCAGTGGTATTTGGGGACGAGGCCGGATGCCAGCTTGGGCATGCGCCGTTTCGTCCAGTACGCGGAGGACGACGCTTCCGATAGCTTGTGACTGAGCCTTGTGCTGCGCACTTGGCGCTCGCATGGTGCACCTTCTTGTCCAGAGGATCACGGCGCCCCTGTGGCCCCGGCGCAGAAGAGACAGAAAGTTCCTACAGTGCCGCTCCCAGCATGGCATGGCTAGAGTCCCTCAGGCATCAAGACACCGGTGTCCGCCAAGGCTGCTGTTCCTATTCAGTCAGTATGTTCACTCATTGTATCCGATGTTTTTGTTGCGCCTCCGTCCGCGGACGAGTTTGCAAGCCAGAAGTAGCTGAGGCGTGCATGGTGCACGTGCAGCAGTCGCAATATTTTTGTTTCGGTAGCATCTAATGACATAGAAGAGGCGTAGAGCAGCACGCGCACATGATCATGTAGGAAAGCCACACCAGAACAGAACCGAAGCCAAGAACCAACCTCGTCACAACAGAATAAGATTGGGGCCTGTTTGTTTGCTCCCACCCCGTGAGCCGTTGAGCCGCATCTGCGTTACCCGAGGCCAACGCAACGACCGAAGACGGTCAAACAAGCTCCAGCTCCCAGGTGGACCGTTGCAATCATGTGGTCGAAAAGATCGTGCTAAAGGTCTGTTTGTCTTCTGCTTCCGCTGGTGGGTTTTGTCCGCTGTCTGTTTCCGTTTCGGTTGCTGTTGCTGTTGGGGTCGTTGCTGTTGCTGTTGCCGTTGCTGCTGCTGCTTCTGCTGCTGTTGGTGTTGCTGTTGCTGTTGCTGTTGCTGTTGCTGTTGCTGTTGCTGCTGCCGCTGCCGCTGCCGCTGCCGCTGCCGCTGCCGCTGCCGCTGCCGCTGCCGTTGCCGTTGCCGTTGCCGTTGCCGTTGCCGTTGCCGTTGCCGTTGCCGTTGCTGTTGCTGTTGCTGGTGGCGGTGGCGGTGGCG